TATCGGTGCCAATTTAAAAAAAATGAACAATCTTTTTATTTTTTTTAGAAAAAAGGTGAGGTTATGATCGCATCTTGACCTCTGAGCTTTGACCTAATTTTGAGATAATGTTCATAGTTTGTCTATAACCAAACTTTCAGGTTATGATTGACTCAGGTTTTATGAAACTTGATCTATTTTTCAGGTTATGTTCGCATATTGACTTTTGATATGAAGGTAAAATTCGATTCATGGATTATATTTTCTTACCTATTTTGTAGATAAGGTTCGCCTCAAGTTCTATGATATTTGACCTATTTTAGAGGTTATGTTTGCATCTTGACATATACTACTTTATCTAATTTTGAGGTTGTTTTTTTATTTGACAGATGTTGTTTGACCTACTTTAAAAGTCGTGTTTACTTTTTGATCTATGACCTAATTTGATGATCATGTTCGCTTATTGACGTATGACCATGGCTCAATTGAAGGTCATATTCGCAAATTTACCTATAACCTAGACCTAATTTTAAGGTTATATTCTTGATTCCTGTTAATAAATCGATGATTTTAAATTGACTGGACTTCTATGAAATCATCAAGTTTCACTTCATTCAGCTTATTCGTGTTTGAGTGATGCGCGAACAAAGGTTTGCATGCATTAGACAGACAGTCAATAACTTTTTTATAGTTTAGGATTCTTAATGAGTAAGAACGAAACAATACATAAAACTTTTCAAGTTTAGAGCAATGTAAGACATAACACCGATATAAGTAATATCTATATAGATAAATCTAAAAAAAAGAAAAAAAAGTTTAATCCTTAAAGCACACACTTCGAAAAAATTGAATAAACTCACTATTTTCTAAATTAAATTCTAAATTAACTTAAGGTAGCTCAGTACATTTATTTTAAAGAAAAATAGTTTTCATAGACATTTATTTAATGTTAATAATTAAAACAGAAAAGTTTGTAATCGAAACAAATATAAAAATTAGACTTTTCACTAAAAAATGTACAACTATCATAATTTCTTATATTTGTAACTAAAACTTTGTGCATATACTCTTAAAATATAACACATTTATGAGAAAAAATAGGGTAATATTTTTCCTTACTAAATAAAATGTTGGAAAGGAAAAGTTGAAAATGGGTGTCACAAAAATATTCCCGCTTGATATCAGCTTGACATTCAAGCAATATTCCGTGCTACTTGGGTGGTAGATCCAATATAAAGAAATTTTTTTTTATATTTCTAATATTACATTTTTTTGAAAAAAAAATGAATAAAAAATATAGTTAATACACACTAGCAACGTAGTCGGCCGCTTGCGGACGACCAAGTTGCTAGTTAATTAAAATTATTAAATAACTAGCTAAAAGAAACGCGCGCGATATCTACAATTTTTTATGAAAAATTAAAAATTTATTTTTATTTGACGGACACTTATTGGACTTTTGATCTCACAAAAATAATAATATTATTTTACAAGTACGCTTAAGATATGTATGCTTAAGGTTAACAGTCCATCTAGGATCACCAAAAGTAAACAATGTTGGATATGTCATGGGATTAAAATTTTCCCTAACAATAAGACTAGAAATTATTTTCTTATTATTTTCTGTTGTGCATACTGAATTTACATCAACATGTAAATCCCTCTTCAATTTTTGTAGATAATTTCTTCATCTTACAGAACAAATTTTTTTCTTTGGGTATTTTCTTTTCATTCTTAGTTTCAGTAGACAGAACTCTGTTGTCATTTTTTCTGGGAAAAGTCTTTACAAAATATGAAAGGTTTAGCTCATTATTTTGAAGTTCTTTAGCTCGATTTATGAAAAGACAATTCCAATTATTCTCTATAAATCGAAATCCTAATATTAGACATTCTAAATGCCGGAAAATGATTTAATTAATTGTTTTCAAAAAATGATATCAAATGCTTGCTCATTACATTATTATCAGTTCCATAAATTAATCTTTTAATTTACACTGTTAACCAATACAGATGTTGCAAATGCTATTGCATTATACTTCACACTTAACTGTACCAACCGGTTGTTGATCAACATCTACAAAAAATTCTGTTGGTTTAAAAGGGAACAATCTAATTAAATATTCTATTTGAAGAATATTCGAACACCCTGCATTAAGGTTATAAAAAATATAAAGCATTTGTAAATACAAAGTACTTTGCATAATGAAAAAAGAATTTGAATCATTTTTTGATAATTCTTGAAATTTATACATATGCATATCATTTAACATTTCATTTACATTTTCAATAATTTTAAAATCTTCATTACTTAAAATAAAATACTCTTCTATGTTCGACATGGTATCCTTCTTCTACTTTCAAACTGTTGATAAAGCCAATTTTCAAAACATATCGTTTATTTTAGTTTATTGCTTTAAAAAATTTACTTACATGTGTTTCACCTATAAAAAATTTCATTAATTATAATTCAGCTAACTAATGCAACAATGATAGTCTTACATGAACGTGAATTAGCGTTGTTTAATCTTTTTCCATATTATATTATTTTCGATAATGATTATTATTTAACTTATTTTCCTCTGCACTTTTTATTAATATTCAAATCAATATTCAACTCACAAACTATTATTTAACCCATAAAACAACTTCAACCCTTAAAACAATATTCAAACCTCTTTTTATCTATTTAAATACTTTTCCAAAAGCCAGCATCCTCTATTATCAAACAGTCAAAATTTTTTTTTCAATATCGAAATATATTCAATACCAATGTTATCCTATATCATATTTTATTATCATCAAAATCCAAATATCTTTAATGCCAATCTTATCCAATACCAAAAAATTTTTCCAAAAACCAACTTTCACTGTGGTCAAAAAATCAATATTTTTTTCAAATATCAAAATATATTCAATACTAATGTTCTGCAATATCATTTTTTATCCTTAAAATCAAAATATCTTTAATGTCAAAATTATCCAATACCAAAAATTTTTTTCAAAAGCCAGCTTCCACTATTATCAAACAATCAATATTTTTGTTGCATTATCAAAATATATTCAATTCTATTGTTATCAAATATCTTTCTTTATCCTCAAAATCGTAATATCTTTAATGCCAATGTTATCAAATACCAAAAAAACTAAATGGATTGAAGTATTTTTTATATGAAACATTTAAGACAACCAAAAGAAACAAATATCTTCTATACCAATATTATTCAATATCAGGGTGTCCAGCGACCTTGAATTCCTTGAAAACCTTGAAAAGTACTTGAATTTTATAGCAAAACCTTGAATTTTTTATATTTTCTAAAATAATAGCTTAATTTTCTAGTCTCAAATACATTTGGTCTAACCATGACTAGAAAAAAGCGCGAAACATAATAAACTTTTTGAAAAAAAACATTCGTCTCGATTTTCTGAATCATAGAATCGATTTCTAGAATCGATTTTAAAGAATCGATTTTTTATAGGAATCGGTTGTTGATATGCAGGTATTAGTGTCATGTGTAATATGTCGTTGGTAGTTTTTATTTTTTGTACCAAAGTTTCATTACAGAATAATTAAAAAGTAGTACAATTTTGACTAATTTGAATTGTTACATGACACTTTACTAATTAAAATTTAGAGAGTCATAAATAGTAAAATATTTTCAAAGTTATTATGTTAAAAGTGCACCTTGAAAAAAATTATTTTGGGCCTTGAAAACCTTGAAAAGTCCTTAAATTCTTTTTTCATGAACCGCTGGACACCCTGAATATCCATATTTTATGCATAAAAAAATTATTTAATAATCAATGTTTTATCCTCAAAATACATATATATATATATATATATATAGAGTATACATGCTTAGGGTTTGAACATAGTGACCACAATATTGGATTTAAATGCACAGTGTATATACTGAGTTTTATGAATGAATTTCTCCTATATTTTTTTATTTAATAAACAACATCTATTAGTTAACTAAATTAATTATTAATTAATTAATTATTTAATAGAAATTTCATTAAAAAAAATTTTAAGTTTACTAAGTTTTGTTTATTTAATAAATTTATTTAATGTTATAAATTTTTAGCAAAAAATTTTTTTTTTTATAAAAAAAAATTGTTTATTTAACAATTTTCAAAAATTTAATAATTAAATTTGGTACATATAATAAAATTTTGAAAATTATTTAAATTTTAATAATACTTATAATATTATTATAAAAATTTTATTTATCTAACAATTTCTTTAATAATTATTATATTATTATTTATTTTTTTTTTGCTTTAATTAGTTAATTTTATAAAAATTTACCAAGAATTATAAATTATTTAATAAATATTTATTTTAATAAGAATTATGGGAATTTTTGTTAACTTTAAAAAAAAAATTGTTTATTTAAAAAAATTTTTAATATTTAATACAAATCTCCAATAATAATTTAAAATTTAGCAAGAATAATTAAAGTATTTAATAAATATTTGGTTCAATAATAATTTTATAAATTTTAGAAAAAATATTTATTTAACAAAATTTTAATAATTATTACATTGTTTTTATTGTAATTAGTTTTTTTTTTTAAATTCAAAATTTTTTTGAAATCAATGACATTTTTTTAATTAGGCTTATAGTTTACGAGATATTTAGAATTTTATCTGGCAGTACCTTTTTATATAAATTTTCGAATGTTTTGAATTTGGAGAGAAAAATTTTTCAATCTCGATTTACATGTTTTAGATCTCAAAATTTCGTGTCACATTGTGGTAATGAAACGGTATTAATACGAACTACAAGAAAATGAAGATTAAAAATTTATTTTTATTTATTTATTTCATAATTTTGTTTATTTAACAATTTTCTTCTTTTTTTTTTTTTTTTAGTTATATAATAAAAATTTAACAAAATTTATCTGATTTTAACGTATTTTTGTTTAGTTATCGAATTTTTACGAAATTCAATAATAATTTTTATTACTTTGAAGAAAAATTGTTAAAATTAAATTTAAAGTTGGTTCAATGTAGGATCTATGTCGGTCGGCCTATCTAATGACAAATGCTCAATCCGTCGCTTGACTATATCCCCTCTATGTAGGCTAAGTAATATAGGACCTCTATAGAAGATATATATATGCGCTATGTAGGCCATAGTATGTAGAATCTATATAGGACTTAAATGTATTATTTACGTAGGTCAAATGTTCTAGAATCTATATGGGGTTTTTATGTGATTTCTATATAGGCTTAACAGTATAGAATCTATATAGAAATTTTGAGGAAATCCGATATAGATGAATATAATATAATCTATGTAAGACTTGAAATCATTTCGAATTAGGAAGAATAATAATTGCATTACTATTGCAAAATTTTAATTATTTTATTCCCCCCTTTTTTTTATTTATTTAACAATTTTTTGTAATTATCAGGTAATTTTTCTATAATTTACCAAAAATTATTAATTATTCTAAAATTGCGCTTTATTAATAAATTTAATAAATATTGTTATTATTTAACAAAAATTGTTAATTATTATAAATTACGATTATTTAATAAAACTTTTACTAAACTTTAGTAATAATTTTTATTTAAATTTTAATATAATTGCACTATTATCATCAATTTTTTTTTAATATATGAATCGAAAAATACCGCATTACGATTGAAGAGGGTAAGTATTGTGAATAAGAAAATAAGGTAATAAAAAAAATTAAAAAAAAATATACACATACACATTTACATTTGTACTTAATTACAGATGGATGGCATTGGTATAAGGCCAATGAGTATGAAGGTGCAAGCGATGCTGATGATGAGCGTGATGAGGAGGAAACGACAACGTTCGGATGCAATATTGCAGCCCGCGATCGCAGCCCTGGCTCACCAAGCCCGCCCAGTCAGGAACACATCTTGCCCCTTACATGTAAGTATAATATATATATATATATATATTAGAGAAATATTTTTAAATTCAATTATATTTATTGATTTTTGTGGTTTATTCCGCATTTTTAGTGGAGGAACCGGTAGGTGAAGATTTGATTATAATAGGTAGGATATTGTTAACTTAAAGCCTATACGTGTATAAATTTTACACCTGCATATTAATACTTTAATTTTGTAGATCGAACTGGTGAAAATGTAACATCTCCGGATGTAAGTGACATTGAGTCACTAAATTGCGAAGAAGATTTAGAAGGTAACAAAACCCCCCTTTTTAGATGAAAAACATATACATAATTATGGGTTCCTATATATGCATATATATATACATTTTTCTTTTTTTACAGATAAGGCAGAAGAAGAAGACGAATCGGAGAATGTTACGTCTCCAGATGTGAGTGACATAAAGTCACTAGGAGATGACATATTTGTCGAAGGTGAGTCATGAATATTATATATATTTAATACACACTTGGGTTTATATTAACATTATTATTATTATTATTATTATTTTTTTACAGATGATGTTCAGGGAGCAAGGGCTTTGACTCCCCCCGACATGCCCGAGCTTGTTTGTTGGGTAGATAACGGTATGTTTTTTTATCATTACATGTATCTTTATATAAATTTTTGTATAACACTTGTACGTCTTTTCTGACATTCATACTTTTATTCATTCAATTTTCATATTACAGCTTATGGTTTTGCAGCCCAAGCTTTGGGTCGGAGTATAACTCCGCCCGATCTCTTTTCGTGGGTGGATAATGGTAAGATATATATATATATATATATTATTTATTTATCATATTCGTATGACCTTTTTCTCATTCATTCTTGTATTTATTCTATTTCATTTTATAGGTGAGGGTCGAGCAATGCGAGGTTCGGGTCGGAGTACGACTCCTCCCGATATGCCTGAACTAGTGTTGGCGGGCAATGGTAAAAAAAAATTTTATCTTCATATACAGTTTATATCACATTTGTACGCCTTTTACTAACATTTATACTTACATTTATTCTATTTTATTTTACAGATTATGGTCATGCAGCACGAACGTTGGGCAGGAGTAGAACTCCTCCTGGTCTCATGATGCCTGATAATGATGGTAATAATAATCTTATTTTTTTACAATAGTATTTTAATTATTTATAATTTTAATGATTTGTGGTATATCTTTTATTAATTTATTAGGTTGGGTACCATTCTTGCGTCGACAAGAGCTCCTTCCTGAGCTCCAACACTTTGAGAAAGTGATTGGAGTTCTTTTGAAAATAAAATTGAGGGGGAAGACGATGATACAGCCGATTATCGCATAATTTATCAGGAGGAATCTGACGCACCCCCTCCGTGTTAGTAAATCTTTTTATAAAATATATATATTTTATATACCCTACGAAGAATTATTATGCGTAATTCTTCAGTTGTGGATTGTGGAGGCAACAGGAACTCGAACTGAGTATCGCGTAGTTTACGGATGCGACGATTAATATATATATTATTTTTTTATTTTATTTTATTAAAAATTTTTTTTTTTATTTAGTTAATAATTGTAAATTTATTATATATATATATTATTATTCTTTATTTTATTTTAATTTTAATTTGGGTTATATGGACTCATTTTTATCTAGAAATAATATATATTAAGTTCTGAAAAAATGTCCGGATGTATGCGTGTGTGTGTGTGTCACAAAATATTGTGTACAAATTATCTCAAAAAAATTTTAACGGATTGTCTTGAAATTTTGTATGCTAATTGTAATCATTAATACCTAAAATCTGACACAGGATTTACAGATATATCCACAACGTTTTGTTTTTTTTTGCTTTTATTTATTTTTTTTTTACTAAGAGAAAAATATGAAAATTTAACTTAGGGAACGACTGTAGCAGCACTTAGAGTGAGTATAAAAAATCGTTCTTATATATATACAATTTTTGTCTTTTACTTGTTTTAACCATAGTTATTTTTGTAGAATTTCATCGCATGTAGTCAACATCGTTGCACTGATCACAATTTTTACCACTCACATCGTTAGAACTGAGAGGCCATTTTCTTTATTGAACTACACTTGACACATGGAGGTTCTTTTACTGATGGAGAGTTATGTTGAAATTTGTTATAGAGTTCAGCATCGGATTTGAATAATTTTGGGACAATTTGTAGAAAAACAAAGAAAAACTCGCTGCACTGTTGATGAAATGTTGATTATATACACTGGTTGGTATAATTAAAGTTTACATAATCCATTATTTCATTGCTTTTTCTTATTATTTTATTTTTGTAGGAAAAATTGGCTTCGGTTTCCTTTTTGAGAATGGTTTGTATAGTTTTATAATATTGTTTTTGACTTTAATTACAGTTTCATGAGAGTAATTATAAATTTTCTTTCAGCTACTGAAGATAAATTTTTGCCACCATTTTTGTTAAGCGAGGAAAAAAAATCCGGATTGTTTTCTGGGTCTGATGAAGGACGTATTTAATTTTTGGAAAGAGCAGCCGAATTCAGCATCTACTATTATTTAGACAGAGACATCGAAAGCAACTCTGTCCTGGAGCATCACATGAGGCGGAGGTGGAGGAGGCGGTGGAAAATTGTAAATTGTAAATATTCCAGATTGATTTTATTGAATGGGATCTAGACCTCCTATTTTTTTACAGAAGAAATAAATGTTAAAATTGAATTTTAAATGAAAACAGTGTTTGTATTTGAATTTCTTCAATACATACTGACATTAGGATTGACACTATTCACACTCGTTTGGTCGTACATGCGTATCTGACATTCCGAGTTCCTTTTCGTAATTGTTAATAGTTCGAAAATGCCCTCCAACGACTAACGCTTTCCTGAAGTGAGTTTCGAACAAGCTTTCTATTGGGATCTGAAATACTGCGATACGCCATCTGGTGACGACCTCGTTGTGTCAGCCATTTTTCGTTTCATCCTTTTTAAAATATATGTAGAAGAGATAAAAAATCAAGATGGCTGACCCAACGAGGTCAGTTTCCCCATAATTCCCTATGATTTCAGATCCCAATAGTAGATTGTCGCCAGTCATCTTCATTGTAACGTTCTATGAAATTAGGGTCTATATATTCGAAATCATCTTTTAAATACCAAGGATAGGGTATATTTATAATTTGATATTTTGACTCTTCTGCTTCTTTAAACAATGGTGGTAAATCAAAACATGAACACAAACAACTTGTAAATCTCCTATTTATAGGTATTTCATGAAAATCAGTTATTCCGTCTGCAATTAAATCTGGGGACATCAGCGTTATATATTTTTCTCCATTTAACACTATTTCATCCTCAAAATTGGCAGGTGGCATTTTCAACGCTTAAGTACATATTGATTTTTTTTAGTACTCCTTACACAGTTTGTTTCAATCTCTTCGCAACCTGGTAAAAAAGAAAGATTTTAATTAACAATATGCCATCATTAATTTATCTTTATGTTTTGAAAATCTTTCGTTACTTTCATCTTCTAGGATTACATTATTATTTTGAGTAAATCCTACTACGGTATAAGGACCTTCGGCTCTCTTATCGAATTTATTCGCTCGGATTTCTTTATACGCGAACACCTTGTCGCCAATTTTCGCTTTTAGAGGGCAGGCAGTCCTATCATGATATTCTTTAGACCTTAGTTTCGCTTGGACAAGATTTTTGGCAGCTATTCCCTGAATTTCGCTCATTCTAGTTATAAGTTCTTTTAAATAAGATCCATAAGTCTCAAGCTCAGGTCCTTGGGGAAATGAACTTGGAATTCTAGCTAGTTTTCCGAAAACCAACTCGTAAGGAGTGAAATTAGTTGCCTCGTGAACTGATGTATTATAATTAAACATCGCAAAAGGTAAAAGACGATCCCAATCGTCAAAATCCTCAGCATAATGTTTAATAAAATCTGTCAGCTCAATATGGCTTCTTTCTAATGCTCCATTGGTTTGAGGTCTGTAGCCAGAAGTGGTAATTTGTTTAACTCCAAAAATTCTTTCCAATTTTCTCATGAGTGAACTTATAAAACTTTCTCCTCGATCAGTAAGAACACATCTAGGCGCTCCAAACTGAGAGAATAAATGAGTAGCTACTGCATGAGCAATTGTGGTTGTTTTTATATCGGAAATAGGGACTGCTATGCAATATTTACTGAAATTATCTTGCATAGTGAGAATATACCGATTCCCATTTGGGGTAGTAGGTAATTTTCCTACCGTATCTAGGGATACTTTGTCAAAAGGGCCTGCAGGAGTATCGGTTATTATCATTGGTTCACGAGTACGAGCTCTAAGTAATTTATTTTGAAGGCAACTCTGACATCCTCGTATAAATTCTGTTATTTCATCTCGCATTTGAGGCCAAAGGTAGCGTTCCCTAATTCGTCTATATGTCTTTGTTATCCCCTTGTGACCTGCTAGTAGACTTTCGTGATATTCCGAAATAATTTTTGGCCTCAATTCTGGGGGTGGAACTTCAATTTTTCCGTGGCACAATATCATAGTGATATCGCCACCGCGGAATATTTTTGTTAATAATTCTGTCATTTTACCTTGGGGAAGGGAACCTAACAAATCATCTATATTTGCCATACGACATGTAGATTGAGTATCTCGGCTCAAAGCTAATTTAAGATTTTTCAAACGTACAATTACATTTCGCCAGTCAATTTCGTCATAATGTCTTTGTTTAACAATTATTGAATAGGTACAATATCGTCCACTAGGGGTAATAAGTATCTGATTTATTTTTGGTCGTTTTTCCTGCAGTTCTTGAAGATTGATTCTCTCGGTTGCCAATAAAAGTTTTGAAATAGCATCAACTGGTTCACAATCTTCTGACATGAAATGAGCATAATTGTCTCTTTCATATGTTAATGGTTCTGACCATTTTTGAATTACGTTATTGTTAGTCAACACGTCTTTCGTCATTTTAAAGTCATTGTCGTCAGAAGTATCAGAAAAAGATGGGGAATCATAATACGGAATACCTATACCTTTGGAAGATTTTTCTATGGGTGTACACTTTGTTCCCGACACATTATCATTAGTTTTTTCCTGTAGTCGGCGTGGCATAACACTAGATTTTTTCCCATTTTTGAATCATTTGTTTTCATGTAGACAAATGGAGTAGATTGAGCATCAGGAATGGCGGAAAATCCAGGTGTTTGAAATATTGATCCTTGCCATTGGGAATAATCCTTAGCGGGGGAATGCATGACATCTGGATCGTCCCTGAAACGTACTGTACTCTGTCTGCCTTCAATTTGTTTAGGGGGTAATGTAGGCGAATGTCGCGGCGAGTTTTCTATTTCAACATTCGAAATTTGGCGCTTGTTGTATTTGTCCAAAAATTTTCTTATTCTTTCTATGAATGCATCATCTTCGACATCACTATTTTGGCATGGATCCAGGTCTTCTAAAGTATCAAGGAGTTCTTCGTCATTTTCACCTTCCGATACATGCGTTACTTCTGGACGAGTAAATTCTTTATCCATTCCTTCGTGGTCCCATGCTAATGTTAGGTTAGTTTGATCGAATCCTCTATTTTGCATTGACTTGTCAAATTGCTGAAATGATTTTTCTAACCCACTTTTTACTTTCCACACTTTGACGTCTGATTCTTCTTCTGTGCTTCCAATCGGTTGGGGAGCAATATTAATAATCACATTTTCAAGATCACAAATTTCTTCCTCTTTTTCGATTTCAAAATCGTCCATGATTTGTTCTTGATTGACACCTTCTTTTGCTAATTGATCGGCCATTTCATTACCAGTTAGGCCTTGATGACTCGGTATATGTTCCCAGACAACGTTTAAGGGTTCTAAAGCCTTTGTTAATTTTTCAAAGGCAATGCGATTTTTAACAGGTTTATTTTCCTTAGTTTTCCATTGATTTATTTTCCATTTTGGGATCCAATCCGTAACACTTTGAATTAAGAATTTTGAGTCGGAGTTAATCCTCAGATTTTGGATTCCTGCTTCTTGAGCTTTTAAGGCGGCTACAGTTGCTGCTTCTATTTCAGCTGCATTGTTTGTTTGTCGACCCTTGGATCGCTGAGAAACATTTAAGGGGTGATCATGACCAAACCAAATACCTATTCCAGCTCTTGGTTCTCCGCTTCCGTTGAAACTACAGGCACCATCTACATAAACGTCTGTATAAGTGTCTTTCGCTGGAGAGAACAGAAGAATAGTGGTTTGAATTTGATCCTCGGAACCTACTATTTTTGGACTCGCCTGTTTCTGTTTTGGGGTTATTTCTACACTAGGGAAACCGCTATTACTTTTTCTGAAAACTGGGGGATCAGAATCTTCATTTAATTCCTCATCTGTTGTTGTTTCGCTAGAAGATGATGGTTTTT